GAATAGTTTTATCTAAATTGCATTTTTTTACTATCTATTTACTCTTTTTTAAAAAAAAAATAGCTACCTTTGCAAAATATAAATGGTGATACATGGTGAAAGAGTGTTCTTTAATTTAAATTTGTTTGCTAAGCGTTTGTAGCTATAGTATTCATTTTATTTATTTTGTATACTACAGTATTACGTATATAGCACGTGGACACACATTTTGATTTGTCAAAATTAGGCAGGTCGATCGTTACGTGATTACATAATTAAAAACAAATGTCATTTTTTACTCATAATGATAAACAATACCCCAAATCTTTTCTCTTTTAAGTAAGTTCATGTCAAATATGAAAGTACTTACTCAAAAACTCGTGGTGCTATTGCTTATGGTTATAAATGTGGACAGTCGGGTTATACCATAGCAAATCAGCAAAACGGCTGTTTATATTATTCTTAAACGTCTGGTTCTTTAACACCAACTCCACCACCATCTAGTATTAAAGCACTTGAAAAGTATGTAAAGGATGTATGGAAAAATATTCCTCCAGAATATGGCAAAAACTGGTCGATAGCATGCGCGGCGAATTGCCGCAAATGGAAATAGGATTAATTATTAAATTTTTTTTTATAAATCAATAAAAAAGATATATTTGAATTTTTATTTTTTAAAAATTTATTTTTATTATATTATTTGATTTATTCAATATAAAAGTCGTAGTTTAAGTGAGTTTAAATCTTTGTTTATATTTAATAACTTCAAGTAATTTTTTTTATTATACAATATATATATATATATTTTTAAAAATAAAAATATGATCTCGTGCGAATATCGAATATTGAAAAAACCAACGATCATTGTAACATTTTTTTCTTTTTTAAAAAATACGATCTGATCATTAGATAAATTCAGCGAAGGGGCAGAAAGAAGAAAAGGAAGCTTTAGAATTTATTTTAAATTCGTTATTTGAATATTTCTATTTTCAAATAAAAATCCTATTCGTTTGGTTAAATATTTTATTTTTTTTTTATTTTATTTATTTTTACTTATATTATACATTTTTTTTGTATATATTTTATTTCATTCATTAGAGTTTTTTGGCTCGGTTTCTTTTTGTGGTACAGGCTCTTTTGGATCTTGTTGTTTCGATGAATTCTTCAGTTTATATGGGCATAATTAACGGCAATAATTACCACAATGAGGATTATAATAATTAAACAAATTCGTTTATATTAATTTTATCATAAGACATCTTTAGTATAATTGAAAATTAAGAAGTATTCTTTTTTTTGAAACTACCCGATATTTTTTAAAATCATTTTATACTTTGTAGATTACCAAAATTGTCGTTACCCCCCCATCGCAGTTTCGCCATTTTATTTTAATTTTATTACATACTAAAAAAAAGAATATTATAATTCGATGGCATTAATAATTGATTTTTATAATCAATCTTAATGATGTAACACTAAATTTAAAATTTTAAATCAATACTGTTTTCAATAACCTAAAAAAAAGATAACCGGTAGCGCTTTCTTATTTTTAATCTTTTTTTTTTCCTTCTATTTTTTTGCTTTATTTGTATTTTTATAAATTCTAATTAGTTTACTTTTTATAGAATCAATAAAAACCAAATCAGTTTCAATAAATGACTCGGCATTTAAAAATTATTAAGTCATCTATTAAAAAAAAATTGATAATCTATTCGTGCAAGTCTTTGGGAATGATTCTTTTTTAGGGGTTTTCAGAAGCATAAAGAGGATAAAATAAAGTAAATAAATAAAATAAATTCAATATTCGAATACTTTTTACTTTAATTTGAATAACTATAAATCTGAAAAATTGATTAGTATTGTAAAAGCGTTTTACATTTGATTAAAATAATGCTAAGCTTCGTTTGTTTGTTACTTATATTTACGTAAAGCAGAACAGATGATTTACAACTGTTTATGTCCGCAATTTGAATGAGGATGATAATATTGAACTTCAAAACGTAGCGAATAATTATTTCTAAATAAAAAAAATTTAAAAACATGAAATTTAAATTACAACTTCACAAATTTACTTCAATTTGTTCGATCTCTCAATTTTATTACTTTCCTTTATCCAAATTCAAAGTTGGGCGTTATTACAAGAATAAAAATTAATACCTCATCAATTGGGAGGTTTTGCTATTAAATAACTATATAAGTAACTTGTTTTAATAGCAAACCTCCCAATTATTAAAGAATTCCTTATGAAAAAATATGTTAAAAATATTTCATCGAAAATGTCCGTTTTGTCCCAAAAAATATCAAAACTGCTGTCCAGAATTTTTCATTTCTATTTTTTTACCCTAAAATGTAAACGATAATTATTTAAATTTTTCCTTTAAGTAAAACTGTAGAGAGACAAATTACCACCACCTAGGATATTATTAATTTAAAGTTCATAAAATTATGCTATTTATCATCTTTGATTAACAGTTTTTTTAAACATTAGTGACGGAATCTCTCATTCATAATATTAGTTGATGTGGAACAAACAATAAATAGTTTAATCAGTTGCATAAAAATACGTACCTATAACGGAAATATGAATTTTAAACTATACTGTACATGACTTATTTAATTTAAATAATGAAAGGTGTCCTATTTTTGGATGTTTGAACTAACGAATAAATTCAGATTTTATCCACTATCAATCATACTAATTTTCCACGTACAAAAATTAGATGAAAAATATTATTAGCCTTTGGCAAACATTTCAATATCGTCATCCTATTGGTATGGTATAATAAATATCGTGGTGTATGGAGGTATAAAATAAATAAGAATTAAAAGATTAGAACTATACTTAAGACGGAAAATAAAATCTCATAAAATTACAAAGTCCAATTAGTAGAAATTAAGATTTATAAAAGAGAAAACATTAAGCAAGAGCAGCTACGTCATGAGCAATTGAAATAAATTGCTTGTTTCTCTTAGGAAAGGCCTTGGAGATATATAAGTTCCGTTGTCGTTACAAGTCAAAAATCTAAATTAAAATGTAAGGAATTATTGTTATAACAAATTTCTAGTAAGTTGATAATTAAGACCAAATAAATCGAAATAATAAAAAAGTATTACCAGTATTATTCACTAGACATGGTATAAGGATCACTCTTAAATTTTAAATGCTAGATTTATTATTATTCATTCAATAAGTAATCTGTAATTTCTATATTTATTATTAAATTTGGAACTAATTTCTAAAAAGAAGTAAAAAAAATTTTAGTCCTTAATATATATTTTTGGGTTTTAGTTTAACATAACATGGAACGTTCGCGATCATCTATTATGAATTTACCATGGAACTGTGCCTAATCTTTAACGAATAATTTTAATACTTTAAACCAACAATCGAAATTCGCTAATTATATTTATTAGTAATATTCAAGACAGTATTCAAGTATTTAATTAAAATATACACGTCAAAATTATTTTAAATGGCTTTATTTTTGAAAGAAATCTGCGACTAATGTCAACGGCACATGATATATTTCCTTTTTTGTATCAATAATGGTTCGAGTTAATATTTTTTTTGTGAAACGCAGACGTTAAAATTAGTAAATTCTTCCCAAGTTTTATCAAACAATATGTCCAACTTAAAGGTTTGTTCGGGAATTTATCAAGAAAAAAATATAAATGAATTTTCGGACAGCAAAAACATTATAAGAACTACTTGTAGTAGATGTAGAAGTAAAAACTCAACACAAAAAAAAGAAATTGATGTGAAGAAAATCATCAAGAAACTCTTATCATAATAAAGAAAATGCCAGCTTGCCTAGTCATTTTTCTGATATTATGTATGAATATTTATTAGAAATAAATGAAATGAATGAAACAAGTGAATTTTTAGAAAATGGAGGTGCTCGACTTGTTATTGGAGAAATTTTAAATCTGGAACCTTTGATCGAAGAAGAAAGAGATAAAGAGAATTATTTCTTTAGCTTCAGAAGGAGATGGATATCGAGATATATATATATTATTCTAAACAAGTTCATTCAAAGGCTATTTTATTTCATTATTGATGTAATATGCGTATATAATTAAATAAATGTTCAACTAAACACCAAGACCAAGCTAAACTACGTGATACAAATCCAAAAAATTTGGTGACACTTATGTGATGGTTGTATATCGATAAAAATTGACTATCAAAACAATCTCATATTTTTTAAATTAAATCGCATTTTACACGTCCATCCAGATCACTTTGAAGTTACAAATATTGTAAAAAAATATATTCACGCTAATATAAAATTAAGTGCATCAGAAATATTTTATAGAATCAAAGAACAACAGTTACTGGGATATGAAATGCTTACTAAAGCACAAGTATACTACTGGTGGACTCGTGAAATAATTTCTGCCAAATTACTTCTTCAAGAGAAAATTTTTCCTATAATTTTTCAAACAAATGAACCTGTAGAATTATATGCTTTTATTACGTCATTTCTTTCTCAACTTTCATGATATGCTCTAGAAATTGTTGTTACAGGTGCAACATATAATACAAATAGTATGAAGTAAGAACTTTATGGGATTATGAGAATGATTGACGGAACATCATTTTCTTTATACTATCTTTTAGTTTCAGCTGGCAAAATTCGGTTAATAACAAAAATTTTAATGGGATAGTATATGGCACTTAAAGAGCATGGTGTTAATAACGTAAAAGTATTTCTTACTAACAAAGTTATGACTCAAATCAATACAGCATTATCACTTTAGCCAAATATACATGTTCAATTATGTTTATGGCCTGTAAAAAGGGCTATTGAAAAACATTTATCTTCAAGAAAAAAAATTGTATAAACACAATATATTGCTTTAGAAGCACACAACCAATGCTCTATTATCGATCCATATTGGCAATCATTAATATTATGCACAACACATATTACAATAATAATTCTCAAATAAAACAAACAACGTCTAAAGCTTATGCTCAAATTTTTTATAAAGGAACAAATAGACATAACAATTCAAAAATGGAGCAACATTTTCATAATCATATGCTAATTCCAACAAATCCGCAGGAAATTTGGATTCATTGTGTAAAGACAATGTTTCAATTTGTTACCAAAAAAACTTACAAATGGCATGGGCTTATTTATGGAAGAATTGGTATAATTGGTCTCAATTTTGCCTTTGGGCTCCTGAAATTATAATTAATAAAACAACTATGCTTATTGAATCACATTGGAGAATAATAAAGCGGGATCATTTATATAAGTTTGCTCGTCTAATACTTGATTTGCTCTGTTTTGTAATTACCAAAAAAGTGGTTTTTCAGTAATTAAAGCGTTATAATCTTTTATGTAATGGGCAAGAATCAACTCTTGGCGAAAAGATTTTAAAACTGAGTGGAGATTATTAGCTTCTAAAACTGCTCAAAATATAGAAAATATTTAACGGATCAATCAAAATGGATTTGCTCTTGTTCATATTATTTATCCAATCGGTTTTATTATGCAAACATTGGTTACGCCGATGGAAAAAATGGATAAAACATTTTTAAAAAGGTTATATAATTTTATTATTATTTATTTTGGCAAGAAAAGATTTTATTTTTATATCTTTATTTGTATTTACTTTCATCAGATTCAAAGAAATGGGTCTATTCTTTAATATTTTGCTCAAAAACTATAGTTTGGCAAGAACTTGATTATGATCCAACTAAAAGCCAATATATAGCAAGTGAATCTAACATTAATCCTAATCCTATTTTAATTGCGGAAAATTCAGATAATGAAGATAATGATGCAGAATTTTGTGGAAACGCAATAATTAAAAATAAAATTTTATTGAATGAGGTAAATTTTTATTTATATAATGAAGGAGTTATTGCATTGTAAATGCTAATATTTTATTGATGCAAAAACTCTTAGATGAATCTGCTAATTTGCTTCAAAGAAAAAAAATGGTTGGAGAATATATTTAGGGATGGTAACGGTCGGTCGTAGTCGGTCAACGGTCGATCAGAGGCAGTTTTGGTTCAATAGAAAGTTTTAATTTAGCCAATTATTATAATTTTGATTCTTGCTTTAACATGGAAATTTTTAAAACTGCTCTGTCATTTTATTTAATGGCGCAGCATTATCGCGGACTTATTTTTTTTCAAAATTTCAAAATATTAATTTATAGATAATTAAAATAAAATGTTGATTTTCTTAATTTTAATGCAATGTGTTTTACTATTTAAAACATGGTGGTTCAGTCTCAAGTCAGTTGGTCAACCGGTCGTCAAAATCGGTCAGAAGCCTTTGACCGACCGATATCGGTCACGGTTATGACCGGTCATGACCGTGACCATTAGCATCCCTAAATATATTATCAAATTTTACTCCTCTCGAACAAATGGTTCAGCAAATAAAATAATATAGACGTCAGTTAACAATGCCGTGAACATGGAAGGGTAAAACCAAAAACACATTTTATTGACAATAATAATAGAAATTTAAAAGTTATAAATATTCTTTTATAATTATATTAAATAAACCTAAAAAGTATTTAATCATTAAGTTAAATTTTAAATTCGTTAAAAAAAATATTTAAAGTTAAAAATTATATGTTCTTTAAAAAAATTTTTTTAAAGTAATTTTTTGTTATCGGCAGGTGACAAATTTACTGGGTGATACTATGCCAATTTATAATTTGGTACAAGTTTACTGTCAACTTATTTAAAAATTTTTATATTTCAGTCAGTCAAAGATAGCATTTATTTTCGCGGCATTTATTTATTAAATTTAATAGCATTTAAATATTGGATATTTATTTTATTTATTTTTATTTATTTTAAAAACGAACTATTTTTAAAATTTTTAAAATTCTTGCATCGTTTAATTCATTAATAAAGTTGCTTAAATAATTTCGATTTGAGATAATCAAAGAGTATCAATCAAAAGCTAATTTTCATCAATGTCTTTGATATTAAATTCTTCCCAAACTCGTATGATAAAGAATATTTAAGTTAAATTCTTTTAAATATTAATAAGCTTAAGATTAGATATCGATACAATGATATATAATGATGAGTCATAATTAATATGGACAACAAAAAAATCAATTAGTTATCAACAAATATTTATAATAAATAGACTACTTGCGGAAGGGGCATGTAACAAACCTTAGTGCGGTTTGAATATGGTTTTTTTCATATATAGTATTAGAAACTACACAAGTATGGACTATTTGTTATTAAAAAATCATATGTATAGGTATAGTTTTAAAGTATACATATATTACATACATTAAAAAGAACCATACTATACACACAATTGAAACCATAATATACAGGTTTGTATAATACCCTTGCGGAAGCTTAGATTATGGAAATTATAATGATGAATTAATTGAAATTAAATTTATACTGTAAGTGTACCATTTAAAGACTTCACTGCAGCAAGAACTTTAATACATTCCCCATAAGACCTTTCCGAAGTGATTTTCGGTAATTTATTTACGAAGTTAGTTGAATTAAACTGTTAATAATTAATTTTCTTTTAAAAGTATACATCAATGGAATAGCCGCATTAATGCATCAATTAAATATGGAATCGATTTTGTTATTCGGCTTGCAGCCAGCTTTATCTTGATTTTAGAAAAGGTGAATTTATTAAATTCATTGTTTCAAACTATAAAAAAAAACTTTACTGAGATAAAGACAGTTAATAATTCAAGAAATACCTATTAATTTATTCGTCTTTTAGGTATTGTTTTAAATATAACCCATAAATTTCATTTCGTCAGGAGAATTTCTTCTCATCACGATAGGCAGAAATAACTGATTAATCTCTTTCATTCTGTTTGTTGTCCTTGAAATACTTCTTACCGATATTACCCTACCAGCTTCGGTTCAACTAAAATTTTTCGCTGATTTTATCGGATACCGCAAATATTAATCAAGAACTTATTATTGATTTCTAATAATGATTTAAAGAAATTTTAATTTAAACGTAAGATGCGAAATGCATGTGCCTATTTATAATATTAACATTGGGAAATAGAATAATTATAACATAACTTTCCCAAAGGAATAAAAGTTTGATTAGTGTGGAATTTTCAAAAAAAAATATAATAAACCGATATGAATTAATAATTAATTACTCAAAATTTTAATTGATTAAATACGATAAGAATTTTTAAATACCCACGTCATCATAAAAATAAAAATAATTACCGATTTTTCATGAAATAAGATTATTATGTATCTAGCAAGTCTAGAAATAGCAACCTATATATTTTAAAACAATAATGTAACATATTTATTAAACTATTAACGTTCTTCACAAATAAAGATTTTTATCTTGTAAAAATGAATCTGCGGAAATCAAAACAATTTTGACATTAGAACGCGACAATTAAAATTTATTATTTTAATCTATATATGTCCATCTTATACTTCCTTCTCAAATTGTCATGAATACTTTTAAAATAGCAAAATTTATTTTAAAAAAATATATATTTATCAATTTTTAAATAAAAACAAAGATTAAAATTATACAACAAATGAAGAACTTAATCTAAAGGTAATAAGAAAGAATAAAAAATAACATTGCATCGAAATATTTAAATCTTTATAATGATGATAAAAACTTATTTTTGAATTTTTATTTGATCTAATAGTTTTTTATTCATCTCTGGAAATTCAACAGAACCCCATTCATTATCCTTAATTAGTTCATTAACCCTTCTACGCACCACATCAACATCGGCATGATAATAGCTAATAAAATATTGGGCGTATTAGGGTGAATTGCAAGAATAATATAACAATTAAAAGATCAAAGCAATATACAAAGTGGACATACATTACATCAGGAAACCAGGATTCCCTACGTCTTTGATATGGAAGTAAGTAAAATAACTCAATCTCTGCTAAAATCTTAAAGAAAATAAATATTAGTTAAAACATTAATAAAGTTCAGAAATTATGATACTTTCTAAATATCGTACCCTCGCTTTTTGTAACAAATACGAGACTTTATTGTTATCCTTTTCGATCTCGTTATTAAGTAACCCGATAAACAAATTCATGAGATATATGACGACCAAGAAAGAGAATGAAACCATCAATAAGACAAGTATTTTATTATCTTTATATGGCCATGGGGTTAAAGCGCTCGAATCTCCTGTAATGAATTGAATCAGCTATGGGATATTACAATAACTATATTATTTAAAAAATGCATCGAACCATACCTGCTAAAAATAAATATATCGCAAAAAGAGAGGTACCATAATCACTGAACAAGTTTGTATTTTCATCAGGGGCTTGAATTATGAATGGATTAGGATCAGTTGACCCTACTTGATCAGAAGTAGTATAAGTAGTTGTGATTTTCCAAGGATCTTCTAGAGACAATAAGATGTAAAATGCATGTGCAAAACTAATTATAATGATTCCTAAGACCACCAGGAAAGAGAATATTCGTTTTGCAACACTAATAATAATCGCAAAATAGACACCAAAGGATTCAAATACTCTAAAAAATAATAGAAATTTCATATCTAAAAATAAACACGTGATAGAAAGCAGTTGAACATTTCTGTCATTTGTTTGGTACCAATAAATAGAAGAACCAATTGTAAGAAGATATGCTGTTATATCTATAAGAATTAATTATATTCCTTGAAATAATTAATTTCAGCAGCATTTAACATACCAAATATATTCCAAAAATCACGAATCCACTTGAAGGGATTTTAAATGAATTGACGAATTTCAAAAGTTAAATGAATAAATCCAAGGATCATTGAGGCAAGCAATAGGTTTTTTCTAATATCTTGAGATATAAGATCTTCAGAAATTGTTGCAGCAACAGTAAAACATCCAAGTAAAGCCATAAATCCCATCCATATAATCGCGTATTATAATTTTCCATATGAATTCCATTTGAAAATAATCAAAGCTTCCCCATTCATTGTTTTATATATATCTCTAGATATGGTTTCTACAAATGGACTAGGTTGAGGTTTAATTAATTCCTTCCACCAACTATATTTTTGTGGATAACTAACAAATTTGAAATATGGAATGATAAATGTAATTGCGGGTTTTAATTCTTTATCACGTGGAATAATCTTAATATTTATATATACTGAAGCACAAATGTTATAAATGTAAACGCATGAAAATAATAAACAATTAATAATCCAAAATATAATACGTTCGATTGAAGAACGTGTATTAATTTTTTCCTTTTTAGTGCAAGGATGAAGATATAAGGGTGTTTGTTGTCTGACATTATAATCCATAGAATCTATTATCATGTTTGTATCCAATGAATATCTTATAAGATAGTCAGGATAAGATTCTTTAAATAATGGCATCGTCGTAGTAATAATACTCAAGAAAGTTTTATTATTTTCTAAATCTTGTTTGAAATTATAAAAACATGTTTTATAAATATCAGATATTAATTTTATGTCATGCACCTTAATTGCAAACCTAAGTAATACATGACCATATTTTAAAAAATCTAATTTATCATTGTTTATGTATGAGATCCATCCCATAATTAGTTCCTTATAATCGACAAATGTAGGGTAGTCGCCGAAAATAGTTCTTTTCATCAATGTATAATGAAAATGTTTTAATGATATTTTATCATTTTCACTCATATTTAAGATAAAAATGCCAATACTAGTTAGGATACCAATATCGTTATTTATCATTTTGGCTTCAATTATATCTATACTTTCTTGTCCTTTAATCATTTGAACATATTCAACCGTTAAATACCAATTATCATCCTCATTAGCTCTTTTATAAACACGTAATGCGATAATATTTATAACCTTATGAATATTTACTTTAATATTCTGATTCTGTAAAACTAGTTCTTTATTATAATCCCAAAGATATTTATATAATCCATTATCAATCTCCATATTGGTAATAAACGGATTATTGTTATTTTTAGCCTTTTCGATTCCGAAATATGCCATCCAATTTTCTGCATCTTCATATATTTGTAATTCCTCTAAAGAATTGATATCTAACTCCAAATCAATTTTAATTTTAAGAACGGAATCGTCTACAATTACAAATAAATGGTTTTGAAAGAATAGAAGTGGTAAATACTTTAATGAATTATTCATTAATTGATTTAAAAAGGAATTCCAAGTTTTATTATTCTTTAATAACGGATCTTTCGTTATATGGTTTAAGCAATAAACCCAAGTTTTATTATTCGACATATTGCCAATTAATGAGAGTAACAAATATTGCAAGTCAGTATGTTGTTTCATAAATGTATACCTAAAAACGAAATGATTTTATATAAATGATAATATATTGACATATTTGCATTTTTTGAAATGAACATACCATAATTTGTATCCAATAATGCAAAAGGCTTTTCAATTTCATCCGAATAAACAATTATTTCATCATTTATTTTCAGACAAGTAAACTTATCATTACTAGAAATACGAATATCTTCCGTTTTAACCTGTCATTTTTCGAGGTATAAATATTAATTTGTATTTCCATTCCATTAAATTTTCGATTATTTAAAAAATATTCTAAAAAAATTACCTCGTTTATGTCTTTGAAAATACGAATATATTTATTTTTACAAGTTATATAATTTGATTCCTTTATGCTGTTTCCATTACGTAACCAAATTTTATCATTCTTTATACTTATTAACTCCATTCCTTCAGCTATTTCATATTCATTTTGAAAATTCCATTTGTTATCTTCAGTTTGTGTTGAATGAACCCAAATAAAGAAAGAACCATTATCATTTTTATGACCAAGTAAGATAAGCTCATTTTTTGTATTAAAATGATATGATAAAATAGTTAATTCAATCATTAAATCTAATTCTATTTTTCGATCCTGATTGTTCATATCAATTATTTCTAAAAAAAAATAACAAAAAAAAATTGTCATTAAATTATTTATAAACAAAAAACAATTTGAATTATAAATACTTACTATTTCCATATCGATATGACGTAAACGCTACTATTTTTTCGTCAGAGACAGATAAGTTTATTTTTTTGTCAGAGACAGAAAAGTAGAATACAGACCTATATTTCAAGTCATATGGTTTAACCGTATCATCTAATTCTAATTTTCCTTCATTTATGTCTTGAATATTCCATCCGACAATACATCCGTTTTTATCGTTATCAAGACCATAACCGACAATATATTTTGCATTTGGCGACATTGCTACCATATCATATCTAGTATTTATTATTTCAAGTGATTTGACTCCATCTCCGTGTACTACGTGGTCTTGTACGGAAATAATCATCGGTGGGTCGACCATTTCAAGAATAAAGAAATTAATCTTTTTGCTCAAGAAAAATAAATTTATTTTAGAAAACGTAAAGTTATAATTTTTATAATTTATTTTTTTTTTTTTTAGAAAGTTGTCCTCATACATTCATCATGTAATAATTTGCCATCTTATTGATGAAATTAAAATAAGCCTAAGCTGCATGCCGGAAGCATCAACCGCATAAAACTGCCGTACAATTCAAATGGATTGTTGTTCGTTTTAATATTGTTCATTTAATACGGTGTCATGTCAATCGGTTTCACTAATTTTCCCCAACGTTTCACGAGTATATAAAAACTTGTTGAACAATATATTTTTGTACGAATCCCTTCCCTTCTTTACACCGATCGGTAAGAGTAATTGTTGTATGAACCAACATATAGGATCCGGTAGAACGACCGATTCTGACCGATTTTGACCGACTGATTTGAGACTGAACCATGTTTTAAACACTTTGTATTAAATTTACAAATCAAAATTTTATTTTAATTACCTATAAAAAAAAAAATTTAAAAGTCCGCTATAATGCTGCGCCACTATACAGTAGTTTTAAAAAATGCCATGATAGAATTGTTAAAGCAAGAATCAAATTATAATATTTTGCTAAATTAAAATTTTCTATTAAGCCGTAACTGCTCAATTTTTTTACTATTAACCGGACCGGTCAGTCAACCGTTCGGTAAAAATCGGTTAGTTAACTGGTCGGTCGGTCAAAGGCCTTTGACCGACCGTTGACCGACCACGACCGACTGTTACGATCCCTAATCCATAATATAACATAATTTCTATGCTTTATATAAGCGTGCTTTTTCGATAGAACAAAATTGATTTTATATAGACATTTCTTTCCATTAAACTCGCCTAATTCGATGGTTTTGTCGTCAGAATATCGATGTAACCGAAAAAATGGTGTATCACCGAAATTCTAAAATTTCAATAATCATTTGTAATGACAGGAGAACATTTTTTTTTAACATCCGAATCGTATGAAAAAGAAAAATGAGTTCGAATTTTTTTTTTTTGATTACAAGTCGTACGTCAATGTACAAATTAAATTGTTCTACGAGACTAAGTAATTTGTTATATTATTCTCTTGGTTGAATAGTAATCAAATTTTATCGAAATTTAAAGGAGAATTAGAAATAGTATGTTGACAAAGGCAAGCAAATTTTTTTTTTTAAAAAAAAAATTGATTTGCCCCATTCGACTCGCAAATATTAATGACCTCCATCATTTATCAAAACGTAAGATAGAAAGTCGGAATTAAAAGTTCCGTCTCTTCACTCTTACTACGAAATTTTAAAGGGATATAAAAAAATGATATATATTTAATTAAAACTACACAGAAATATCTTAAATACGGGCGAGATATAACAAATATACTAGAAAAGAAAAGACATGATACATGTTTCTTGGGTTTTCAACCAAATAAACAGATAAAATATAACCTTTCGCTACTATCACTAAGAAAATCATCCAATATTTTGGCAACGGTTTACTAGAGGACCATACGAGAATGCAGATTAGGATATTTTTTTTTCCTCGATTTTTAAACGGATCTCGGAATCTAAAACTCGATTGGCTATATTCCTAAAATTTATCTTGTGTGTGGTTATGACCAGCAAAAAGGTTCGGATTACATCTAGGGTAAATTGTAATTTCTTCACCCTCAGATTAATAACCACCCGACCAAAATAACACGGTATTTATACAAATTGAAATAACGCTAACACCTGTACGTTCAATTTTAGTACATTCTTCTTAAGAAACTTGTGACAATTTTCTTAGGGTTGCGTTTGAAAAACCTAAAAAAAAAAAAAAAAAAAAGATTAAAAACCTAAATCCTTAAATAGAGAACATTTGCTGTTGAAAAAGAATACAAATACTCTCAAATTATTGCAAACATTTAATAAATATTCTATAATTATTATACATGTTTATGTTAAAAATTCAATGAAATATTATATTATTTATAAAATATTAATTAGCGGCACAACAAGTGACCTTTAATTCCAATTTGAATCTATAGAATATTATATTTACCATTTACTACATTTTCCTTTCTCCCTGTAAAAAGTTTATGCAGGAACAAAGGTATTTGTGCTACTGTTCTAAAATAACAAATATTATCGATGAAATTCGACCATTCTTCAATTTTACTAAGAATATTTAGGACAGAGAAATTTTTTGTTAGTAAATGCTGGTTGTCACCATTTATAAGTATATATGACCCGGCAGCCATGACGCTACTTTGGAATTAACTGTTAAGCAGGTGTATTGTAAATCATTTATACAATTTCATAAAAAATAAAATGATCAAGGTTCAAAATATATTATAATCTGGTAATGATAAAGAAAACAACTTTCCGTCGTTCCAGAAATCACCTCAGAGGTCTAAAACTCTTGGACAGTATATTTAGAAGAAATCCTGCAATTCTTCTTGATAGTTAGCATCCAAATTATTGCAATAGAATATGATACTTCGGCAGTTAAATGGCTTTGATCATGACAAATAGTGCCAATTGCAACCCTAACGATTACAAGGTTGCACTAACAAAAGTGTTAGAATCTGCAACATTTATATTTTCGTATTCAAAAGGATCAACGCATGAGGTGGATTTTGTAATCGGTACAAATACCAGTCTTTAAGATGAAATCATAAGGAAGCTTATTCCTAATATCATGTAGTTGATACATTTAGTGCCTTCGGCAAGATAACGATCCTAAGCATACGATCTGCATAGCTAAGAAATTCCTGTTCAAACAGCTCCGACTTGAACCACATAGAAAATTAATGATTATTGATAAGAGAGACAAGTAGTTGCGACAGCTGATTTTTAAGGTCGTATTTTCGGTATCGGGCGCAGCTACGAATCGGGTAAGATTTTACATTGCCCACCCAATTCGTAGCTGCACCCAGATACCGAAATGCAGCCTAAAATTAAATAATTTTCTATAAATTAAACCATTGTCCAATAAACTGATTGCTAAGCATAAAGACTAAAGCTATAAGCTAATAAGAGTTTGTGTAACCAGGAGAAAGTTGGAGGTCGCTGTATAGTTGGGGGATAAGGTGCAAAAACCCCGAGTATAATGTCACGTAACCTTTAGCTGTGGAAAAATCTTTAAAATATATATATATTACTTATATCTAATTTATCTAACGAATCTATTTTCTTTATTATACCTATTTTAATTATTATATATTAAAATGGTTAATACATTTATCTTATTCATTATATTTATAAGTCTTGGGATTGGATTTGTTAATTCTACTTATTTACACTTTCACACTTCTTTGTGTCTCCATATAAGTTTTGATTGTGATAGCTAACTACCAAAAGGGTATTTTGATAATATAAATTGTTGTATGAATCTTTCTTAGATTTTAACAACTTGATTGTTAACTTCGTACATAAACTTATTCATTTGTTTGGGAATTTATCTTCCATATTCAGAAATTAATAAGCTTAGTAAACAGTTGTGGATAAATCCTTAAGTTTTGACAGTACCGTAATATTGAAATGAATAACCTTATCGAAAGTTTATACAATACTTTGGCTTTAACATTTTCTCGTGGGAATGCGTTTCATAAAATAAATACATTATGCTTTTTGAACTTTTTGTTTGCATAATTTGAAAAACAATTTATCAATTTCGCTGTTTTCATCACGAATAAGAAGTACTAAATTGTATATTTACTGGACCAATTTTCTGGCTAATGGAAAAAGTCGAAACCCCTATGTTTTGATTTGGCTTTTGATGAGAAAAGATGTGAAACTGTATCACAAAAATGAAATAAATAAATCATTTCTCCGTGACTTATCTTATTCCATCCTCAAAGAGTTTGATTCAATAGGTAAATTTCATTCGCTAAAACTTCGATAAGTGGTATTTCCCGAATTTGTCATAAATTTCGTTAAAATGTGAAATTCTGAAATCTTACTAAGCCGATGAAGTGATTACGTATTGAAACATAGTAGTTATATATTTTTGATCATGTCTCGTTTAAACGATTTAATTTTTAGTTTTTGTCATGAGGAAAAATTTTCTGGAAATATACTCGGTAAAATTATTTAAACATGTTATGGATCCCTTAGGATCAAAGGGAAAGAACTTTCTTAATAAATAAATTAATAAAATAAATCAACTAAAATCAAAAAAATAAAATACAATGATTCAATAAAAAAAAAAATGTATATATCATTTCGAATATTTGAAATCCAATTTTAATTTCAAAATGAAAGTTTCTTACCGCAGAAATCTCTGATTTATGCAAATCGACACTATTATTACTTACTGGTACTCCGTAAGGGTTGTTGGTTCTTGACAGAAGACTCGATTTTTTATTAACACCGTTATTATAATATGATTTAATTTCACAATTAAATAATCGAATAACAAATTATATACGCAGGTAATAAAATTATCAGTTATATATATTTGAATCATTAATCTTGCGGAGTCATGGTTTATGAACACTAAAAAGCTTTATATTTAAAAATATTTACGAGCAGTTAGACACAACTTCTTGAAGAGTTATTAAATTGTTAATTTCTGATGGAAGATATTTATCCAAAAAGTTTTTTGACAAAAAAGAAAAATTTAATCGGAACCTTTTATCTACGATAGGCGAAGCTCGTTGATTTAAAAGATTTTCAAATGAGGATTCGGTATTACCTATGGTTGAACAAACCTACCTTCAAAGCATCTAATGTCGACCTTTATTACCAAATCACATTTATTGTAACTCCACATAGACGAGGTAAGGATAACTTAACTGCACACTAATTTTT